CACAGACGGCGCCAGATGTTTGAGCCCGAAATTGCTGAGCTCGGATGTAACACAGATCGGGACGTTCAGGATGAACTGTGGCCAACGGTCCAACACCTTCCCAAAACACTCTAGAGACCTGCAAAACAAGGTTAGCACTCCAACGAGCAAGTCAGTTCTAGGCCGAGCTAACTTGCCGAGTCTATCTAGAATTGCGTACCTTGCATTTAAGGCAAGGGTTTCTATTTATAGAAACTGAGCCCAACAGGGATTCTGACACACCCTAAAATCGCGGCGTGTTGTCGGGTATGGAAGAGACATTGTTACGGACTTTACCTCAGGTCGGCTCGGCACTGTAGGTCCTACCCTTACTGCCGACCTGAGTGTCTAGAAGCCAATTTCTACACTTGGTTCGCATGTTCACCCAGCTCACTCTTCTGATCATGACACGTGGCAGGCCAGGATTCGCCTCCAACAGATACGATCTTTAATATTGTAACTAAAAAATGAATGTGAGCTCAAATATTTGAAATCCTATTATTCAAAATTATTATTGTTTCACAGCTTGCATTAACGGCACCGTTTTGCCGTTCAGAAGGTTGAGAATAATTTTTTTCTTTTGCTATTTTGTAATTTAAAATATGAATAATGAGAGTGTTAATCATGCTGCTCTATTTGTGTCAAATGACAACAACAATTATTATTTTGTTTTTGTTGTAACTTTTTGTAGATTATTGCCATATATTGTTTTTTCAAAATTATATTGAGGATCTACCATTTTTGGAATTAAATTCTATAAAGACATTTCGATTCATGTTAAAATGAATTTATTTTGAATTCTGAAGTTTAATAATTAGCCATTTTGTTACGAATATAAAATAATTATAATTATAATATTATTATGAAATATGTTTATATATTTAGAAGAAGAAAAAAATTTCAACCGTGAACTGTACCTTTCTATATTTTTATTCTGTACCCATATGAATATTTGAACGTATACATTATTACCTCCGCCTCCACTTGGTCAATCAAATCCAATATCTTTTTGTAATTACTCAATAGCTACCATTTTTCTTGATGGGATGAATTTTATATAGGGTTATCTTTTTTTTGTTGTATGTTTCTCACATACCTATTAACGAAATGGTACCTTTTCTTCAAAAAATATATATATATTTTTTGGAAAGTATAAAAGGTTTATCTTATCACTATTGGTTGTATTAATAATTCCAAAACCTACCAAAAGAGGTGTGGAGTACTCAAATAAAAAAAAAGAAAAAAAAAAGAAAGAAAAAGTGTGGAGTAAGAGTCATACAAATGATATCATTTTAAAAATAAAAATACTATTTTTTTTAGTACAACATGTGAGGGTGGGAAATCGTATTGGCAACATCTCGATTAGAGATATATATACCAATTACCGCAAAACTATACTAACTTGTACTAAAAACACTATTTTTAAACAAGTTAATAGGATATTCATTTGTACATATTCATTTAAAGAATTTTCGTTTTGTTTATGTTTTTAACTTTTGTAGATTCATGCGCATGTTGCTTTTTAAAAGTTTTGTTGAGATCTATCTTTCTTGGAATTCAATTTCAAGACAATGGATTGTATCTCTCTATTCGTATTTTCTACCAATATTTGGACGTACCATACCTTATATCCTATCAATATTGGTTGTAGTGATAATTCCACGACCTACGTACCATACAAATGATATCTTTAACAAGTTAGTAAAATATTATAATTGAATAATTGAATAATTTGAAAATCGTAGTATTTATTTAAAAATAATAGACGTTTAGTGTACAAGGAAATGTAACAAACCTTAATATTAGGACATTTATACCAGAAGTGAATATATATGACAGATGTTATTGTTGTTCAAAACCTAAAATTAGATTGAATTAAATAAGTATAAATGAAATGTAATCACTTTGTTAACTCATATTAAGAATTATTTCAAATAAGATTAAAAGTGAAATATAAACTTTAAACATAATTCAATCTAAAAAAATATAGATATCACTCGAAGTCAAATTAATTATATTAAAATTAAACCAAAGTGAGCATATCTCAGCGGTAATTGACATATATCTTCCACTAAGAGGTCCTGAGTTTGATCCTCATCCCCCCATATTGTACTTTCTTGTTTCTCATTTTTTGAAACATTCTCAAAATTATATATAAATTTTGAAATAAAAATATTATTTTATCATACTTGAATTCATAAATGTTGGAGCTGTGCAATTTATTATTCTTTATTAAAAAACAAGAAACATAAACAAGAAACAGTAACCATCGAGCCTAAGCTTCCATCATCTAGCTTTTTTTTAATATTAATATAATATGGACTACACTATCCTTTTGAAACCTTTTATATAATGTTATATTTTAAAAAATAAAACTATATTTGTAAAATGGTTGTGAAAATGGGGCCTATAAAAATCATAGCCTTGAGATGTTCCAATGGCATCCAATATTCCAAACTTTTCCAAGTTGAAAAAATGAGCAAATTGTTAGTGTTTTGTTTGCTAATTCTGGCCATCTTCCTTGCATCTCCTACGGTCGAGGGCGATGTGAACTTCAACTTGGCCACGGCTACTAAAACATCCTATGCAGCTTTCCTCAATGCCTTTAGAGCCGATCTTCCACTTGAAATTAAGAGACCCTTTGATATATCTCTACTGCGTGCCGCGGTTGCAGGCGCAGCTCGCTACACACGAATCCATCTTACCGACCGCAGTGGTCGTACCGTCACACTGGCTATAGATGTAACAAACGTTTACGTTCTTGGATTTTACTCCCCGCAGTGTAATCTATCCCACTTCTTTAATGACCCATTTCCATTGGAGCTATGGCATTCGTATTCACCAATTCTCAGCAAAGAAGACCTCCATTTGATGGCAGTTACCCACAACTTTCTGGGGCTGGAGCCAACCGAAGCTCTCTTGTCCTTGGCCTCCCATCCCTCAACAATTACATTCCAACGTTGGCTGGCTACAACTGCCCAAACACCAACTACCAGCCCTCCGACGTCGCGAAGGCGTGTGTGATAACCATTCAGACGATGTCGGAGGCAGCAAGATTTCAAAAGATTCAGGATGCAGTTCCAAACAATTTGGTTCCAAATCCAGAAATTCTATCTTTAGAAAACAATTGGGGTAGACTCTCCAGACAAGTTCAGCTAGCAGAGAGTAATGGTGGACGATTTACATCTAACGTCACGCTTCAAGACCCAACCGGTGCTACGGTTATGGTATCGAACGTTAATTCACCATATGTAAGAGGCAACATTCGGTTGCTGCTGAACCAACAGAATGCTCCAACTACCTCTGAACATGAAAATTATGCTACAATGTAACTTTGAAGAAGCAGCGATTAAGTGCTACCACTCCACATGAAGAATATTATATTATGTTGTGTGTTTGGAGTTTAATCCTTAATGTTTGTGTGCAAATAAGGCATGTTCATGTGTGTGCTTTGTTCCAATTTCTGTTGAGTAATAACAAGTGTGGAGTCTTTTAATCTTTTCTACTTATGCTTATGAGTTGTTCATATTATATATACATTGTTAGCAACCATAAAACCTCATCCAAATCTGTGAAATTTAGTATTTTTCATTTACAAAATGAATCTAAAACCAGGGTGTTAAATTTTGCTCAATATTTCAAAGGTCTCTATGGGTTCGACATTGACCTAAAGAGTCTAACAGACGTTTCTATAATATTGCAAAGAAATCGATAAAATAATTTATCCATACCAACAACTTTTTGACTAGATACGAAATTAAAAGAAAATTTGCTTTGAGAAATGAGATTCCCACGTTGAAGTTCATTGATTTTTAGTTTCTCAAAATAGTTACATGTGGTTCCCCTTGAAGGCGTATGACAAGGGTCTTGAATCTTTTAGTATCACCTACCATGAGATATTCTTCCGTTCAAGTCCTGCACCGGTCATAGTGTTTATTAGAGGGTTTATTAGAGGTTAAGAGAAAAAAAAAATGGTTACAAAGCAAAATGGAATGACTAGAATATAGAAATGATATTTAAATTTAAATGGTATTTTCATAGCATTTTTAGCTAGGAATAAAGGTATCAATATTTAAATAACGCGTTCTAGTATCAATTATATGGACCTTTTTGATATCGATTTTCTGTTTTCTACTTTTTGTTTTTAGTTTTCAGTTTTTAAAAAAACAAAAACTATATATGTTTTATAATTATTTTTGTTTTTCAAAAACCAAAAACAAATATGTACAAGGAGGTGAGAGAGTTGAAGAAATATTCTAGTGAGAGAAAATTTTATGTAAAGTAGATATGACAACGATATGGATTCGGAATCGGGCAGGCCTCCCATCTTCATCCTCGTGGAAATTTTGAAATCCACGTCCCCACCTCATTCTGTAGTTTTGAGAATTGAGGTTTACGTCGAGGAATCTTCGTTTTCGGACTGGGATCTTCATGGAAAGAATTATCGGTTTATTAATTAATCTTTTATTATTTTTAGGATTTCAAATACGAAAATGTGTTGTAATAAATATATAAAAATTATTATTGACTAGTATAAATAATTAGTTGAAAAAAATATTTAATATTTTATTCTTAATTTAGTAAAATTGTTAATAAATATATATTTATTATTAAAAAAATGAAATCGGGGTTGGGGCCGGGGTATGGTGGGAAATGCATTTCGGCCTATTCTTGGAGCAGATACCCAAGCTTACGGGGATTTTTGTAATCCCCGAGTGTAGAGACAAAAAATTAAAAGTTAAATAAAAAGAATTTTTTAAAAGAAAAGTTTTAGATAGAGTAAATTTAGAGAGAGATATAAAAAGATTTAGAGAAAAAAAAATTGCAAGAGAAAAGTTAAAGGCAAATTTGTCTTAGAAAATTTTTAAGAAAGTGAGTACAATTGAGAGCAAAAAAAAAATGTTAGAGTAAGAGAAAAAAAAATTATCATGAGAAAAAAAATTTACAGAGACATGTTTTATAGAGAAAATTAAATAAATAAAACGAGGAATAAAAAGTTATAGCGAAATAAAATTGGAATAGGAGAATTTTGGATAGATAAAAGTTGGATATATATTTGCTACATAAAAAATAGATTAGAAATGTTTTTTTTTTTTTCTGAGAGTGAATATAAATGAAAATTAGTGCAAACATGGTTTAGGAGTTGTGCTTGGTAGTTAAATTTCGGTGTAAATTGAAGAGTTTCTAGATTTGCTATATAAAAAGTTGCAGTATTGGTTTAGAGAGAATTTGGAGCGCAGTGGCCTAAGTAGTGGGTTAGTGGTTAATTCTTGCTTTTCTTATAAATACTTGTAATAATTATCAATTCAATGAATAAAAGTTCTTCCTTGGTACAATTTATCTCTTGCTTCTACTCTGTTGTTCTCTTCATTTTTTTCTTACATGGTATCAAAGTGAGGTTCTTTATCTTGTATTTATGTTTGAGTTTTGTGCTCGGTGTTTTGAGTTTATTGTTTGATTGAAGATGAACGATGAAAGCAGTATTTGTATGGAAACTTTTCTACAAGTATAAGATCTGTGGGATCTTGTTTCTGGTGATTCTCCTAAAATTATAAAAGATACTCCCTTAAATGCTGAGATACGAAGGAAGTGGAAGATCAAATATGAAAAAACTTTATTTGCTTTGTGAATTTCTATTGGCAAGGAGTATCTCGAGCATGTTCTGTTGGGTATTTTTTCACATGTGTGAAAGCCCAACAATTTTAGGCCCAAATGAGTCATTACTTTTAGGGTTATATATATATATATTAACTTATATGTGCAGTCAATGTCATCAAGAGAGGGATGGAAAATCGAGGAGAGAAAATTAGAAAAGAATTAGAAAAGAAAAAAATCCGTACAGTAGCATTTTTTGCATGATCGGAGGTCGATCCGTGATCTGATCGGGGTCAAATTTTTACAGCGTGTTGACAACACAAGGGTCTTCAATCTGGACGGTGGAGATTTCTTTGTGAGCTGCCTACAGTCAGATACAGTGGGTAGTAAGTGCCACTTTCAAAGTGAGATCTTTCTAATTTTCTTCCCCGATTTATTCCCTTTGTTTGCCGAGATTCATTGTCTCGAGATATTATTATTGTATGCCTCTAGTTGTTGCTAGGGAGAACTTGGTGTAGCCTATTATTGATTATAGTGGAGATTTTAACTTTGGTCCGTTGTTTTTTACTCCTCACATTGAGGGGGTTTTTTCACGTTAAAATTGCTTGTGTCTCGTGCTTGTTTGAATTATTATTTTTACTTGCTATTTCTTATTAGGTTCACGCAATAGGGGATAATTGGTCCATAAAATTAAGTGTTTATCCCAACAAAGTGGTATCAGAGCTAAGTTAAAATTAATTAGGCCTTGTATTGAACAATGGAAACTAGTACAAGTAGAATGGTGACCTTGAATGGCTCAAATTATCAAGTTTGGAAAACGAAGATGGAAGATATTTTATATGTGAAAAATTATTATCTTCCTGTTTTTTCACTTGAGAAGTCTGAAGATAAAACTGATTTAGAATGTGAAATATGTCATAGAAAAGTTTGTGGCTTTATGAGACATTGGGTAGAAGAAAATATTCTAAATCATATTGGAGAAGAAACACATGCACGGACTATGTGGAACAAGCTTGAGTCGTTACATGGTCCGAAAACTGGTAATAATAAAATGTTTGTGATAAAGCAAATGATGGCTTTAAAGTATCAAAATGGAACACCTATGTCATATCACTTGAATACATTCTAAGGTATCATTAGTCAGCTTGCTCGAATGAAAATAATGTTTGAAGATGAGATACAAGGGTTATGTCTTCTTGGTACATTGTCGGACTCGTGGGAGACTTTCAAAACTTCGTTATCGAACTCAGCCCTAAATGGAGTAATAAGTATGGACATGGTGAAAAACAGTATTTTAAATGAAGAGATGTGTGAAGAAAATCACAGGGCTCTTCATCATAGTCAGAGTTCTTGTTACTGAAAGAAGGGGGAGGAGTAAGATCAAAGGTCTGAGGGGTAGAGATAGAAGCAAAAGTAAGAGCGGCCGGTTATCCAATGTTAAGTGTTATCATTGTGGCATGAAAAGGCATATAAAGAAGTATTATCGACAATTGAAGAGAGAAAATAAAAATGATAAAGGTAAGGAAAAGAAGAATGATGGTGGTAATTATGCAGATAGAGTTTCTACAGCTACCGAGGTTTTTCTTATCTTATTTGATGGTGATGTTATCAATCTAGTTACACAGCAGAGCAATTGGGTGATTGATAGTGGCGCGTCAATTCATGCTACATCCAGGGGGGATTTCTTTGCATCCTACACATCAGGTGACTTCGGCAGTGTTAGGATGGGTAATGATGGATCAGCAAAAGTCGTTGGTATTGGTGATGTGCACTTGGAGACCAAGAATGGTACTACGCTGGTTTTGAAGAATGTGAAACATATACCTGATATTCGCATGAATTTAATTTCCACAGGTAAGCGTGATGAAGAAGGTTTCTGCAATACCTTCTACAATGGCAACTGGAAGCTTACTAGAGGCTCAATGATTGTAGCTTAGGGAGAGAAGTGTTCCTCATTGTATTTGATGCAAGCAATGGTTATTGATTCAGCAATAAATACAGTGGATGATGAAAAGAGTGTTGAATTATGGCATAAGAGACTCGGTCACATTAGTGAGAAGGGGTTGATGATTTTGGCCAAGAGGAATCATCTTTCTGGTATAAAGAATGCGCCTTTGAAAAGATATGCTCATTGCTTAGCAGGGAAACAAACTGGAATTTCCTTTAAGGCGTCTCAACACTCAAGAAAGCCAAATATACTAGACTTGGTATATTATGATGTATGTGGTCCTATGAAGACAAAAACACTTGGAGGTTCCTCATATTTTGTGACATTTATAAACGATCATTCGAGGATAACTTGGGTCTATACGTTGAAGACTAAAGATCAAGTGTTGCAAGTGTTTAAACAGTTTCATGCCCTTGTTGAAAGAGAAACTGGTAACAAATTGAAATGCATCGGGACCGATAATGGAGGTGAGTATTGTGGACGTTTTGATGAGTATTGTAGAAGCCATAGTATTATACATCAAAAGACACCTCCGAAGACTCCTCAGTTGAATGAGATAGCTGAGAGAATGAATATAACACTAGTTGAGTGGGTAAGATGTTTGCTTTCACAGTCACAGTTGCCAAGATCGTTTTAGGGTGAAGCATTAAGCACAGTTGTGCATGTTTTGAATCTCACGCCATGTGTTCCTTTGAATTTTGAAGTCCCAGATAGAATTTGGTCAGATAAGGAGATATCCTATAATCACCTACGTGTCTTTGGGTGGAAAGCTTTCGTACATGTTCCTAA